GCATGTGTAAGCGTCGTATTGTCTCCCTAGTATGAGTCAAAACAAATTATATTTATATATATATGTATGTATGAATGATAGTTAAGATAGTTATACTACTAATTTCTCTTAGCTCATTGAAAAGAATGGTTTGTGTTAATAGTTTTTGGTCAATTAAACACAGATATCTTGTAGTCTGAGTAACTAACTTAAAGGTAATACACAATGTATTATCTATCCATTGATACCCTCTAATTATCATGTTTTGAAATTTTATTCTTTTCCCTTTAAAATAAAAAGGCAGTATACAGAAAGAGAAAGAAAGAGAAAGAACAAGCATTTGCTCACGTTTTAGTAGTTGTTCCAAATATTTACCTGAGACTAACACATGTTTTTAGGACAGAATGACTACTGGGTCTTGGGTTACCACTACCATCTTTACATTCAGAGACAGCATTGAAAATCATGGTGGTGCTCACCAAGGCAAGGATTGTCCTTCATTTTCTCTTCTTCTATTTAACTGTCGTGATACCACACAGATGACAGCCTTTGATAATTCTCTGGAAATTTGGTCCTTCCAGGGATAAGAATTGTCTGTCCTCACACCAACAGATATGTCAACAGTGTTAAGTCCTGTTACTTGAAGGAAATTACTGTCTGCTACTGACAGCATTCGTGTCCAGCATTACTGTATGATCTGTACCCAGACAGGCCTCATTGCACTACTACAACACTATGACTTCACTGTTGTGTGAAAGTAAAAGCTAGGTACTTTCTAGTAAATATAATTTGCCAGGCAGCCTTACTGAATATTCCAGCTGACTCCTCTGTTCTCTAAGAAACAGAAACCACCTCTCAGACAACCCATACAATGAAACACACACACAAATTCAGGTATGGTGGTGCACACCAGAAATTCTTGCTACTCGGGAGGCTGACATAGGCAAATCTCAAGTTCAAGGTCAGCCTGGCCAAGTTAAGGACACCTGTCTCAAAAAGGACTGTAGATATAGATCAGTGTTCTCTGGGTTTGTTTCCCAGAATCAATCAATAATCAACCATAAACTACTATGAAAATTGTAATTGTCTAACTATGTTTTCTGGTTTGTTTGTGAGACAGGGTCTTACCATATAGTTCCAGCTACCTTTGAAAATACTGTCTGATTTCATACTGTCAACGTCCCAAGTACTGGCATTATAAGTGCGGCATCAAGCCCATTTTAAATTCATTCTTTTCTTACTGATACACATCACTTTTCATTCTTGATATTATCTATCACATTTGCAAGCATTTACCTTCTCTATTGTAGTCTAAATGTGTCCTCTCTGAAGTCATAAAGTGAAGCTCTAACCCTCAATGTGATGGTATTAGGAAATGGGAGCCTTTGGGAGATGATTGGGTTTAGATGAATTCTTGGGACTTCACCTGTAACCCTCTGTAGGAAAGGTAGAGGTATCAAATGTTTTTCTCTGCTATGTGAAGGCACTGCAAAAAGCTGGCTATCTTCAAGTCAGGAAGAAGGTCCTTACCAGAAACCAAATCTGATAACATCTTGGTTTTGGACTTATCAGTCTGTGGTATTTTGTTATAGCAGCTCAAGCAGGCTAAGACATTCATTCTTCATGCTCTATTCCAACTTTCCAGTGTTAGTGGATCTTTTGAGAGGCCAATGTCCACCAAACAGTACATGTTAACTTAATAATATAAGAATCTTGTTGAAGTTAAAGAATATGTTCTCAGGAGTGTGGTGGTGCACTCCTGTAATCGCAGCACTTGGGAGGCTGAGGCAGGCATATTGTGGCAAGTTCAAGACCAGCCTGGGCTATAAAGTGAGCCCAAGACCAACCTAAACCACATAATGAGACCCTGTCTCAACAAAATAAAAAAAAAAGAGTATGTTCTCACTGGCTCGTATCCATGTTTCCGATGCCCTGTTGACTATCCCTAAACAGCATTACCATCATATTCCAAAACAAATCTTTAGGAAGCTGTACACCTATGCAGTCTTTTAGGGATAGTTTGTTTAAACCTGTGGCTGTTATGCTGATTATTTGGATTTAATATTTCCATGTGACTATATCTAAAAAATGTATGCACAGTCTTTATACCTTGTATATGAGAAGCTTCACTTTGCCATCATTTTGGGATAAATATTTTTTCTTGATTTTTGTAATTGTTTGCCTCAATACGTAGGAAGTAACTTTGCTTATAGTCGTTCCTTGATGGCTATGTTATTGTAAAATAGGTTACTCTAATTTTTAATCACAGACATCAAATAAACTTTCAGGTATTTAAATACAGCTACATTATTTTTTATTGGGCCCTCAAAATAGGCCAGTCACTATTATTTGCTCCAGTTAAACCATCTCATTTAATTTTCCAGCAGTCCTAAGAGGTAAATATTATCATCCTCATTTATGACTAAAACAAGTCTGGTGATGTTAAGTAACCTGGCCAGAATTATATGGCATCCTTAGGGTTATGACTATACTGTCTCCAAAGCTCTCGTTTTAGCATGTGTCTTACAAGTCCCTCAGTCATCCGGGAGTGGAGGTGTACGCTGTAATCCCAACACTGGAGAGGCTGAGCCAGGAGGATCATTGTGCATTTGAGACTTAGCCTGTGCTACAAAGTGAGCTCAAGGCCACTCAGAAGTAACGAATGAGACCCTGTCACAAAAAAAGACCAAAAAAAAAAAAAGCCCCTCAATCTACAATCATTAAAATGTCTTATAGACAAAGGCTCAAAGGGATAAGTTCACGTGGTTGATTAGTTATAGCATTCCAATCCTGATTTTGTAACTCAAATTCAAGTACTTTCAATTTCAGTGTTCCATATACTCCAGTTACATTTTTCTTAATTGTGATTTATTTAAAAGTGCTTCTACAAAATCTGTTTCATTGGAGTCTCAAAGCTGTTCTCCTTCTTGGACACAGGTACTGTGGCTCACTTGTTTTAGATGTTAAAACTGAAACTTGAGCTAAAAGAATTGGCTTTGTGTATATACAGGGTAGCAAGCATTTTGATCTTTATCTTAGCTCTTTCCATATACCCTTCTCTACATAAAAGGATAAAAGGCCTGGCTGCAAGATCCTCCTCTGTGAATTTACAGCATAGCTTTTACACTTTTGTTTTGGGAAATCCACCCATGCCTTACCGTTTCAGTCTGATCCTGTCTCTCCAACCATCACAAATTATATTTTTTTTATCTCTCTGGTTTTTGGGGGGTTGGGCTGAAGGCTCTTATTTTAGCTATGGTTCCATGCACTACAGTCAGTGGCTTGGATTTTCATACAGTTATCCACATTTCTCCCATTTTCTATATAATAAATCCATACTGCAGGGAACAACTCATTAGGAAGGATAGATTGTGGCCCACGCCACTTGTTTTCCTTATAATCAGTTACATATATTTAATGTAATCACTGCTGAAGAGGATACCAGGAAGGTTTGACTTAATTTCTGGACAGCAGATTGGATGTTAAGTGCATATTTTTAAAAGTTTTAGTTCTACAAACTAAAGTTGTGTTGGTCCTTCAGTGTACCAGCCTATTCTTAGATGTGCTTCTTAGTTATCTTTTGTGTTTCTTAGTGCATTATCATGTATTGAGGTCTTATATAATCAAAGATATGAGTTTGTTTGGAAAATCTTTGTTTTCATGCAGCATTTCTTACTGTAGCTGGTTGTAAAGTAGGCCTCATTAAATGATCTGTAGTTGTTTGTATTTTTGTGGCCCAAAATTGGAGTAGGGATATATTTGCTTTTCCATAGTTGTCTAAAACTTGCTTACCCTTCTCCTAAGCTAATGTTTCCTGTTGAGGAGAAATGTTTAATATAACACTTGGTACCTGAGATGGTTAGAACTGGATTTAGTAAATAATTTTCATATATCATAGAGCATGCCATCATTTTTAGTACAGTTTTACCATAGCATTGTGGGCCTCAATTCTCAAGAAGTTTCTCTAGCTATTTAGTCTCAAGAGTAGTTATCCAGGTCTGTTCTGCTGATTACTTTATTTTCTGAGTATAAATATAGTACATTCTATTTTTCATTATTTTCTCCCTTTAAGGAAAAGACCATGTGTTTATTTCAGGATTTTGGGATCCATTTTGTGATTTCTGAAAACTCATTTTGCTGTGTTACTTAATAGCTTTCAAAATAGTGCTCAAAGAGATTTTATCTATAAAATATATATCACAATCATTGCTGTAGTTTACTTTCTTTATATTCTAAGCATATTGATAAGAATGTCTATTTAGTTACAAGTAACACAATAAAAGCTATACACTCACTGGAATTCAAGTTCTATTAGGTATGGATGGAAATCTTTTGAGTCTTCTTGCCTCCAAATGGCCGTTTCCCTTCCACTTTGGGTTATTCTATATGTCAAAAGTATGTTTCCAAAGTGACCATTTGCTACACTAAACTTTTAGAACACTAGCATCTTTGGGCATATAAGAGGTAATTGTAACATACTACTAGATATTGATAGGATAAGTACTGGCATTGCTGCATTAGGACATTCTCTTGAGAAAAAGATTTCAAAAATCCTCAAATGTTCTGTGTTGCACTTTTTTCTAGAGTAAGGATCTCACCTTCTACAACAGTTTTCCTCTGTCCCTGGCTGTGATTTCTGCTTTATTTCTATTTGTTTGTTTAAATTAAAATTCTTAGAGTGGGAATTTTTGTTTTGCTTTACCTTGTTTTGGTTTGGTTTTTTAAGGTAAGATCTACATAAGTACAAGGTCATAGCTGAAATGATATGACATGGATTTCTAAGTCACCTAGAGGCAGGGTCATAGAAGATACCATACATTTGTAAGAGAATAATATGACCTTTTTTCTGTAGATTTCCAAACATCTTTGTGTTTAAATCATGAAGTGCCTAAAGCCCAGTTGTATAACTCTTTTGAGAAATGCTTGCCTGTGCTTCAGTTAGCATTGTTTTGCATAAAAGAAAGCATATATTTGGAATATCTTTAATCTTACTCCTCTTGCATTTTCCTGTCTGGATGCAGCTGAAAGTACCCATGGCAGATAAGCCTGGTAACACAGTAAATTTCCGAAAGCTGTTACTAAACCGTTGCCAGAAGGAGTTTGAAAAAGATAAAGCAGATGATGATGTCTTTGAGAAAAAGCAAAAAGAACTTGAAGCTGCCAGTGCTGTAAGTACTTTTTTTTTTTTTTTGTCTTTTTTTTTTTTTTTTTTTACCGGTACCAGGGATCGAACTCACGACTGCCTGCTTGCAAGGCAGGCGCTTATGCTGCTGAGCTAAATCCCGAGCCCCTTGTAAGTACTTTCATAGGTAGTGGTTGTGAGCTTGGAACATTGTGAAGTAGAATTTTCATAAAATCAGCTGTAGCATCTCCTTTCTAGCTTGAGAGGGACCCGTAGGATTTTTTTCTGCGCAAAGGTACCATGTTTACTGTTAAGGCATCTTGTTCCTGTTCACACCAAATGTTAGAACAACTCAGCCCTCCAAACCATATATTTAGTCTAAGTGTGGATTTCAGAGAGGTTTCTAGGTTCTAGAAATCGGGAATGATTATAAATTTTTGCATGTAGAGTATTACAAGATTCTTAAAGAGCAAGTAAGGCCCCTACGTCTTGGTGTCTGTTGTACCCTACAGCTTTCATCATCTAGATGCTATTATTCCTTCTTATACAACAGCCAGAGGAGAAGACGAGGCTTCATGATGAACTGGAAGAAGCCAAGGACAAAGCTCGGAGGAGATCCATTGGTAACATTAAGTTTATTGGAGAACTCTTTAAACTCAAAATGCTGACTGAAGCCATCATGCATGACTGTGTGGTGAAGCTCTTAAAGAACCATGATGAAGAATCCCTAGAGTGTTTGTGTCGCCTTCTCACTACCATTGGCAAAGACCTAGACTTTGAGAAAGCAAAGGTAAAAATCTAGAAACGCAAAACCTTTAGCAGGGCCCCTTAGTTAATTGCAAAAAGAAAAAGCTTAGGCTGTTAACAGAAATCCTTTATCTTGCCCAGCTGTCTACACTGTATAATTTTCCCTTTTTCCCATCTCATTGTTAGGGATTCATTGTCAATACTTTTTCCCATGTTTACATTAAAATCAAGAGTGTGGAGGGTTCCAGATTATATACAATCTAATTTGTAAATTGTTCAAAATATTTGTTCCCTGTCCTTCTGTTTTTCCTCCATGGACATTTCATAGATCATGTGTTTGTATGACAAGTTATAAGCAGAAATGAGAAGAAATGCTACCATGAGTCAGGCCTAAAGGTGATGCAAAATGAAGACTCAAAGACTCAATGAAGGCTTAAAGTCTACAGTCTAATTAGTGACACGTTTATCTAACTCTAATAAAAGAAATCATCAAAAATATGATAATACAGATATACTGCTATTAAATATATCAACAAATGTTCCATAATATCTGAGTCTGCTAGGATGATGTTTGGTTATGACATAGAACCTCAAATGTCAGTGATTATACAAGATCAGGGTTTGTTTCTCACTTAAGTAAACAAAATTCAGAGATAAGTTTTTATAATTTAACATGTTAAATTGAGGAGGCTAAGGCATATCCCTGGTCCCTTTTATTCTGAGCAAAGAAGGTAGAAGAAAGGCCAAAGATAGCCACAACTCTCTTAAGGAAGTTTCCAGAGCTCTAAATACTATAAAAGTTTCCCACTTATATTCTGCCCCAAAATTAATCTCATTACCAGAACCAGTTGCCAGGGAGCATAAAAAGTGTAGCCTTTACTATCAGTGACTATATGCTCAGTTAAGAATTCTAGGGCCAGGTGATAGAGCTCTTGCCTAACATGTTCAAGGCTCTAAGTTCAATCCCCAGCACTTCCCCAACCTGCCCAAATATTCTGCCTTTGTTAATTACCATTACTTTTGATGTGGCAAAATCATGTTTGAATTTCTCAGCCTAAATACTAGTGATTCTCTTTGTTGCAGCCACGTATGGACCAGTACTTTAATCAGATGGAGAAAATTGTGAAAGAAAGAAAAACTTCATCTAGGATTCGATTCATGCTTCAAGATGTGATTGACCTAAGGCTGGTAAGTAGGAGAAAGTAAAAAGCCTGCCAGCATAATCTCTTTTAAGGAACTGGGTTGAGTAAGGATGTGCTAGTGTTACATGTGTAAAGATGGAACTCTTTTGGTTCAAGGCTCAGAACTTGAATTCGCTTTCATGAGAAGGTTATGTGAAAGAACAAAAGGCCATTGGTCTGTTATTTGTTTCTTCTTCCTCTGATTACGAAACCACTGTGTCATTTTGAAACTGGCCATTCTAAATCTATTCTGTCTAGTGATTAGGATTTGGCGCTCTTTAAATTCATTCTGTGGTCAACTTCCCTGACCCTTACGTTTTTAGTCTCCAGAATGGTTATATTAGTGGTTGTGTCTATCTTGCTGGATTGTTGTAAAGATTTAGTGGAATAACTATGTAAAGTGCCAATTCATAGATGTTTTCTTTTCTATGGTTTTTCCTCTGTAGGCTTTCCTCTATCCCTCCCACCCCCAAGATGTATACAGTTTGCATCACTGCTGCCTTTTTTCTTAGTTCAACTGTTAAGGGATTGCAACTGAAAGTGAAGCAGGTAGCCTTCGTGACGTTTCTTTATCTTGCTAAGCCCCAGAGTGATTTTAGGACTTTTAGGACTGAAGTCTTTACTGGTTGATCAGAATTTGCATAAAAATTTAAAGTTGTCATCCATTGCTTCAGCCACTTTTGCTTGTATCAGATGGTGGGATTGCATCTGGAAATGTAAAGGAAAAATATTTTTACTTTTGAGAAACCATTTATATCCTTAAAGATGGCAGCATTATATGTCACATTAAAGGATACCAGATTCATATTAGAGAAAGAAAAATTCTAGTCATCCTTGGTGGAGAAGTCTTATGAAATGCGATGTGACCTGATTAGCAATACCTCAGATTCAGGCAATTCCAAGGAATCCTCATTTCTTTTTTCTTGTGGGGCTGGGGATTGAAGGATTCAATCCAGCGCCTTGCACATGCTAGGCAAGTGCCCTACCATTGAGCTGCAGCCCCAGCTCCGTGTCTTCATGCTTCTTCATTCCTTTTCACTGTCTTCCTTTCAGATGTAGAAAACAATGATAATTAAATTTGAGCCAGTCTTTTCATTATTTTATCCATCGGCTTTTGGAGTGTGCAGCCAGATAGGTTGAGTTAGGAGACTAATTGTTTACCTCTAATCCATAGTTTACATCATATCATCTATGATATTTGTGATCCCTGATTTCGTACATATTTAACTTTCCAGCAGTGAAAAGTTAGTATTTTTTTAAAAAGAATATATTTACAATTACCTGACCGGTAACCTTATTTTTTACTTTTGCAGTGTAATTGGGTATCTCGAAGAGCAGATCAAGGGCCTAAAACTATTGAACAGATTCATAAAGAGGCCAAAATAGAAGAACAAGAAGAGCAAAGGAAGGTCCAGCAGCTCATGACCAAAGAAAAGAGAAGACCAGGTAGGGGTGGCAAGCCACTGGACTTGGGTGGACGTGGGCATTTGAAGGATAGGAATGTGGAATGCTCTATTGAGGCATGAAATAAAATCACAAAGAAACGCCCAAGGAATATGACAGTGAAGTAAAAGTAGTTTTACCTGATGAGTGATCATTGAGTAAAAGCAGGGTTTGTTTGACTTCTTTAAAGCCTCTGGTAATCAAGGAGCAGCTTCTCTAGGTAGAGCCTAGAGAGGGATAGGATAAGTAGAAAATACAGGTGTTTCCTCTAAAGCTTACAGTCTACTAGGGAAGATAATAAGTCAGGGAACATTTCTGTCAAGCAAATAGAACATGAATTATGAGTATGCTCTCCAAAGGGGTACACTGAACTCAGCAATGTGACTGTCGCTAAAATCTTGTGTGTAAAGTGACACCTCAGAGCAGTAGGAATAGAAAGGAACACACAAATGAAGAAAATCTAAAAGACAAAAAAGCAGGCATTTATACCTGAAAAATACTCCAACATGTTTAGGGACATTGTATGAGGAAACCTTTTCAAAGGGAAATGATCGTTTTTTCTGTTGAGATTGTTTATTTTGAGATGGAAATTGCACACACTACTCTTCAGTTACGTGATCAGGGTTTCCACTAGGCCAAGTAGTATAGTGGTTGAAAACAAGTTCTGGAGTCTGTTTGAGTTTGAATATCTGCTCTTCTACTTCCTATGTGACCTTGCTATATTATGCTATGACCTGCAAAATGGAATTAATAATCGTAACTGGGATTTGTGTGAGAATGAAATTATTTCATGAAAACTATTTAGATGACATCCGAGTCTTTATTAAGTATTCAGTTACCGTTGGCTTTCATTTATCACATAGTAGAGCTCATAGGATAGTTGTTCAGAGAGATGAATATACCAGGGAAGAAAAGTTACTGCTGGCGCCACATTTAACCTTCTTTACCCCAGGATGTACAATGTTTTGCAGTTAATGTCTTTAATTTTTATTATTATTATCTCTGTTGTAATTATTGTCATTAATTTGTTATTGAACTAAATTGAGAACAATATGAAAACCTAATCCATGGGGGATATCCAGAGATGAAAAAAACAATTCTTGGAATAGTGACAGGTGCAAAGCAAGTGGAGAGAAGGAATAAGGATAAGTATCAGAAACAGAGCAGTGATTATATTCGCATTCAGTAATACCAGTACAGAGAAGATGAAGTACACAGAGTATACAAAGATGAGAACAACTTTTGATGACAGTTTGGTGATCTTTCTTTCATTCATTTATTCAACAAATTTTGAGTGCCTAGTACTTAGCAAGGAAAATTTCCTTTCCTTATACAGTTTACATCTTCAAAGGTGTAAAATGAATTTCTTCTCTAAAAAATGAGAAAGAGTATGTAGAATGCAAGTTTTGTGAATAGAGATTGTGATCTTAAGCAGAGGGGTTGGGGAACTGATTAAAGTTGCTTGGTATGGCACACGCCTATAACCACATCCCTTGGGAGGCTGAAGCAAGAGGATCGTTGCAACTTTGAGACCTGAGCTACACAATGAGCGCAAAGCCAGCTTAAACTGCACAGTGAGTCCCTATCTCAAAAAGACAAGGAAATAGATAAATAAATAAAGTAAGTTGCTATAATTTAGGAAACATATGAAGCAGGTGAGGGTAGTAAATCATGTATGTGTTTATCTGGCAAAAACAGGTTTTAAGTTTTGGCAAAAGCCCGTCTGTAACATTTTTAAGGAATAAAAGAAAGGCCAATGTGACTAGAGCTGTGGTTCTGAGGAGGAGAGTGGGGAGAGAGGGGGCTAGGGAGGTGCAGGAGTTTGTGTTAGAGCCTGGCAGGCCATGTACTGTACAAAGAATCATCTTTTTCTCCAAGACGCCAAATGTGTTTCAAACAAAAGGGTGATGATCTGGCTGAGTCAACTGTAGCCTCAAGATGAGACAAGGTTGGAAGCAGAGAAGAGTTTTCTGCATTACCCAGCAAAAAGATACCTTAGTTTAAATAAAACTGCTGATGTTTATAGTGATTTAGGGGGGCTAGATTCTGAAGATGTTACAATGTTTGAACTGACAAGGTTTGTTGACAAATTGGATGTGAAGTGTGAGAAAGAAAAACCAGTGTATTTCACCCAAGCAGCTGGCATGTTGGAGAAGAGGTTTTAGGGAAGCACGAAAGCATACTTAAATCATTTGACACCATTAAGTGGAGACAACTTTAAAATGTGTGCCAGTGTGGCATGGTGATACATGCTTATAATTCCTCCTATTCAGGAAGCTGAGGCAGTAGAATCACAAGTTTGAGGCCATCAACTTGAAGGCTTTTACACAGTGAAACTTCATCAAAATTAAAAGGGCTGGAGCTGTAGTTTAGTGTACTACTCTGGGTTCAATCTCAAGTGCCACACATATGCATACATGCACATGCAAATTTTAATATTGATTTCTATTTAATTTTTCTGAGTGTGTTTTAGTCATTAATTCTTTACATAGATTTTACCCTGCTGTGTCCACTGAAGGATTTTTGTATCATTTGGTTTTTTTCTAGGTCAGCAATGCTTCATGAAGATCTAATATAAGTAAAGGGCTGTTTGATTATTTTCATGCTATCAGTATTGTTTTTTGTTTTTTGTTTTTTTTGTCTTTTTCGTTTTTATTGGTACCAGGGATCGAACTCACGACTGCCTGCTTGCAAGGCAGGCGCTTATGCCGCTGAGCTAAATCCACAGCCCCTGTCAGTATTGTTTTAACAGCTTTTTTTGTATTTTCTATTGGTTTTAATTGGAGTAGCTGAATTTAAAATACTGCTCTTTTTCAGTGTGAAATTGACATAAGACAAATAAGAGACTAGCTCACTGTGTTCTTTGTAGGTGTCCAAAGAGTGGATGAAGGTGGATGGAACACTGTACAAGGGCCCAAGAACAGTCGCGTACTAGACCCATCAAAATTCCTGAAAATCACGAAGGTAAGTGTGACACATAACGTGCAACATATGAGCTAGGAATGTCACTTAAAAGTGGCGTACCTCCCTGGCATACATGAAGCTCTAGTTCAGTCCCCATTACCACCAGAAAAACTCACAGAATGGCAAGTAGTCTCACTATTAGTCTATAAAGTGCTTCTTGATCACATAAAATAGCCATATTGCATATTTTATAGGATAGTAGGTTTTCAATGAAGATATTTTCTTACAAGTCAGTATTGATCAATGCATTCTATGGTCTTGTGTTGGCAAAGTCCTTTGGTAGTAGGTTTTCTATTCCAACAAAGGGATTTTAATTTGGTTTTGTTTTTTTGTTTTTTGGTGTTTCTCAGACTTGGTAGGCAAGCAGAAGGTTTTGTGTGGAGAGAAGCCTAGGTTAATTCTTAGAGTTATAAGATGCTTAATACAAGAAATGATGATAAAGATAGTTAGAAGAAGTAGTCATTTGCAAACTATTACACTTGGTATCTTTTCCTCCAGAAAAGAAGCAGTTACTTGTTTAAATGTAACCATGATGGTTTCCCATTTCCAGAGTCAAAAACAAACCACAGATGATCATTAGAGATCATTCTGTTACAAAGATTTAATATGCTCTCCTTCCTTTCTTTTGAGAATCCTTGGGCAGCAAAGGAAAAGAATCTTCTCCTAGCAGCTGTTTTCGGCAGGAGGCGTTTGTTAATCTCTGTAAATAGAGCAAACAGAAGAATATAGAGAAAGTACAATTCATTTTGATAAAAATGGAAACTTCCACAATCCCAATGGGTTTTGCAAATCTCATTTGATCCCTACTTGTGATACTTTCTATAGTTCTGAAAATTGGAAGCTGCCAGCAAAATGCTAAAGAAAATGTAAAGCTTATACGAAAACATCAGATACAAAAAGATAACTGACCAAAAGTTTTTTTAAAAATTAAAATTAAATGATTTAAGTCATTTGCATGTTCATAATTTTCTCAGAGTTTTGCCTTAGGGTAAATTATTCTCCCTCTTGATCTCTCTTGGTGATTTAATTAGTCAGCTACTATTCTCTTAAGATTCTGGTGCGTCCTTCTAGTTGTTTTTGTCTCTGTCCACAGTTTCCATTGCTAGATACAATTTGATTGTCATTCATCTCAAGCAAGAGATGACTTTGACACAAATATTACTGTTTAAAGAATTTCTGGGGAAAAAAAAGAATTTCTGTAATATGGACCCCAATGTCTTTGAAGATTATTTTAATATTTAATGGTAATATCTGAGAACAGTGTGAAGAACAGTGCTAGTATCAAACCTCCAATATCACTACAGCAACATTTTAAAAAATATGTAAGTTAAGAAACTTTGTTGATTCAGATGGTTATACTATGGATTGTGTAAAGTATCCTAGAAAAAGTTTAAAATTGTTAAACATATTCCTTGTTAATTCAGAGCGTTTTGTGTGAAAGAATGTTATATAGCAAGCCAGCATATCATGGGTTGTCAGAATATAAAAATACCTTTGTTATAAAGAACTACATTCCAGCTTTTAGGTTATATATGTTTTGTGAAAATGCACATAGCACTGTAATTCTGTGTACTTATGCGTGTAAGGTTAAACACTTTAACTGCCTGCACTCCCTGTCTAATGTCCTATTCTCTTTCTTCCTCTTCCCCTTGGTAAATATTCACATCTCCCCCTGCCATCCCTAGCCCCACCATGAAATTTTTTTATGTCTCTTGACCTGTTTTTCACAATAATATACAGAGTATATGAGTTAACTTTGTAGTATTTGTGTATTCTTTTTTACATTACTGGGCATTATTATATAACAGGAATCATTAGAAACCACTTAGATTTGGCAGATTAATGAACCATCTTAAGTAGAAGGATCTGAGTGCATTCTTCAGATCAGTGCCTTCAAACTGTTCTAGGGAAATGAGCCCAAGGAAGTGTTTTAGATGCCACAGGGAACCTACTTTAATGAGAACAGTTCCAACTTGTCTCTCAAACTGGTGTTCTAAAATTTTGTTGCTAAAATTAATCTACTGCACTGAAGAAGAAAAACTGTTCCTCTACAGTATTTCCTATAAGTGTATTGTGGCCAATTATGTTGCAGCCCACAATTGATGAAAAAATTCAACTGGTACCTAAAGCACAGCTGGGCAGCTGGGGAAAAGGCAGCAGCGGTGGAGCGAAGGCAAGCGAGACTGGTACGTGTTGAGTGGCCCTTCTCCAACCTAACTGGTCTGTGAGTGTTCACTTTACAGCCAATTCCCACAGTTGTTGCATAATAGGGAAAGATCTAATCATGTGCAACTTCACATAACGTAACTCAGAAGTTTCCTCCTGGGTAAAGATTCTTAAGATTTTTAAAATTTCATTTCAGGTAGGCTGTGTGTAAATTTACATTGTTATTGTTAATTGCCTACAGTTATTGTACATATTTATGAGACAGTACATTTCAGTACAGTACATGTGTGTAATATGTAATGATTAGGTCAGGGTCACTCGTATATTTATCAGCTCAGATATTTATCATATCTCTGTGTTTGAAATACTCAAAATCTTCTCTAGTAACTGATCTGAAATATTCTTGAAACTGTTCTCCACCACTGTGGTCCTACTATGTTGTAGGCAATAGAAATTATTCTGTGAGGCTCTTTATTTATTTTTGGTCTTTGTGAGACAGGCTTTTGCTGTGCAGTTCAGTTTGGTGTTGAACTCACCATGTAGCCAGGGCAAGCCTTGAATTTGCAGTGATCTTCCTTCCTCAACCTCTCAAGTGCTGGATTACAGGCGTGCGCCACCACACCCAGCCCTATGCGGCTATTTAATTAGGATTTCAGATCTGTTGTTGCTGTTGTTGCTGTTGTTGTTGTCATCGTCATTGTCATTATGGCTCACAAATTCAGTATAGTGAGAGAAATTATTAGGACCCCAGATTTAAAAAGATACCCATCATGCTAAAAAAGAAGCATCTTAATACACAGAAATATTTAAGGGAGTTGTAAAAGAATAAAGAATTGAAACACTTTCAAAATCTGCCAAAAATCGTATTTGACCTTTAAAATAAAAATATTTGCATCATCACAAATACATCTTAGTAAAGAAGCCCAATTACAGAAAAAGAAACTTCAGTATTATCCTCCTTTCTATATGTTCCCTCAACTTAAAGAATCATAATTTTGCATAAATGCGATTTTAGCATTTATATTGGTAAACTTCATTAAAGTGCATGTTTTGGTTTTTGTCTGTCTCTCCTAATTACCACCTCCATTCCTGTGCCCTGTTTAGAATAATTTCAGTGTTTTAAAACAAGTGGTTACACCAAACAGTCTTTTACATAGAAATTCCCTCAGTCTTTTCTTCTAGAGGATGGTAGCTGGACCAGATTAGTGTTTTCTGAACTTGTTAGAAATACCGACTGTTAATCTAGGCGTGGTGGCTAGCACCTGTAGTCCCAGCTACTGTACTCAGAGGGGAAGGCAGAGGGGATGCTTGAGCCCAGGAGTTTAGGGTCAATCTGAGCAAGGTAGAGCTAGGCAACACCCCACTTCCATTCTCACCTCTTAAAAATAAAATAATTTCTGGTCTTGGGCCCCACCCTGTGGATGCAGGTAAACAATTATCTATATTTTAGTCATGTCATTTCTATTTTTTCCTAAATCCTCAACACCTATAGATGCCTTACGGTCAACTACTTCCAGTTTAAATAGATTTTCTGCTCTACAACCTCCAGCGCCCTCTGGATGCACGTCAGCTACACCTTTAGAGTTTGATTCCCGAAGGACCTTAACCAGGTGAAAATCCCATTTTTCATGTTTGCTCAAGGCTGTCCTTTTGGCAGTATGACTCCATGTCACACGTGGGTTATGATGATAGTCCTATGGATGCATTCCTTTTATCCTTAATGTTGATTTTCTCCTTTCATCTTCATATAGCATAATAAGATAGTAACAAAGAACTGGGTGTTAGGTTTAAGATGAGCTGGAAGGGAAGGGCAGGTTGTCTGGCAAAAATACCTAATACTGTAGTTCGCATCCTAAGAAAGCCAGGCCCACGCAAAGAACACTGGAGGCACTTCAGGAGCTCATCCTGCCGCTGCTCTAGGATGCTGTAGAATAACCTAGTACTCCCGAGCATTTGAATTGAAGAAAATGGCAGTCTACCCGGATATTTCCCTGTCACACTGTCCTTCACTGGATATTTCAAGTCACTGTTGAGTTTTCACTAGGCTGTGCATATTCTGCTGTCTTCCTGCTTTTACTCTTGTAAGATTGATGTAGTCAATGTATTATATGATTATTTTAGTTGTGTGATGTATTATAGTAGCTAGTTTATATAGAATACTGGAGAGCCAGTGACCAAAGAAATTTTTTTATGTATGCACTTTCAGAAATGAAGTATCTTTGAACTCACAAACCTTCATGTTATTATAATTGATTAGATAGACTTGATAAACTGGATTACTTATTCCCCGGACTTGTGAATCAAAGTACTGTATTCTTAGTACAAATTGGCATCTTAGGAGAATTTGGACTGTCCCTGAGCATTAGTTGTTGAATCACAGCATTGTGGCTCTTTGCACTGCCGTAAGTTTCCTGTAACGGCCTTACTTTATAAGTACTCGGGTATGTTTTTTCACAATGATTAGAAATTGCCCATTTCTGAGTCTCCCCTTTTCTCTCCCTTTTAATTTGCTGCTTGTGAACTGCCAAGGAACAGTTTATATTGCTGAAGAGAATTGCACATTAAAGGAAGACTAAGCAGGGAGCTATACAGTCTTTCTTAAAATGAATAAATACATGACTTTACTATCCAAGTGTACGTGTAATTGTTTCTCAAATAATTTTCACATCTTTAAGTATCTAGAGGAATAAAGAATCATCATATAGTTTTTGAGATAGTGATTGCCTATTCTTAAGGTACTTGCTTCCCTTTCATTTATTTGGCTTATACTCTTTGCTACTTTCATTTTTTTCTTCAAAAGAGTTTTTACAACTAAAATCAATAATTGTTACTGACATTTAAGTTAACTCATTGGTAGAACATATCCGTAGCGTGCTCAAGTCCCTAGATTTAACCTCAGCACCAAAATTTTTTTTTAAATTTTTAATTTTGGGGCTGGGGATTTAGCTCAGCAGCATAAGTGCCTGCCTTGCAAGCAGGCAGTCGTGAGTTCCATCCCCAGTACCGATAAAAAGGAAAAAGTCCAAAAAAAATTTTTTTGTTTAATTTTTAACTAGTGTCCCTTTTACCGTTAAGAGAAAAAAAGTTAAAATATCTTAATAAGGGGACTGGGGATTTAGCTCAGTGGCATAAGCACCTGCCTTGGAATCAGGCAGTCATGAGTTCAATCTCTGGTACCGATAAAAAAGAAAAAGACCAAAAAAAAAAAAATTTTTTTTAAATGTCTTAAAAAATACTCACTTTAAAACATTCTGATTTTTACTTGTTTATATGAATTATAGTTTGAAATACAATTGATACCTCATATCTAAGGTTCTGTGAACAATTGCATACTTTTAATGTTATTTTATAATTTGAATACAAAGAGGTTAGGTTGTCAAAAAGTGTTTTTGTCTTTACAGTCGTGGAAGCATGAACAGGGAGAAGAATGACAAGCCACTTTCATCTGCAACAGCTCGTCCAAACACTTTCATGAGGGGCAGTAGCAATAAAGACCTGTTAGACAATCAGTCTCAGGAAGAGCAGCGGAGAGAGATGCTGGAGACTGTGAAGCAGCTGACAGGAGGCGTGGAGGTGGAGAGGAACAGCTCAGAGGCTGACCGAAACAGAGGGAGGGAGTCAGGTGAGAGACTTTCTAGGGACAGCGGGCATGGAGACGTGCTCCTGAAATTTGGAAGGAATAATACTAAGGGAATATGTGCATGACTATAGTTGAGAATCAACATATCATAGTAGTACATATACTAGCACCTTGAAAGGAGAGAACAGCTTTGTTGTTTTGTAACATCATTCTTATTCCCTGGGTATGTTTTGATTCATCAGTTAGAAATTTTCCCCTTTCTTTCTTAAGAGTTGTGATAATGCCCTCTCACTGTGTATTAAACAATCTGTGTTTCTTAGAATTTTCTTTCACATCGCACTGTACATAACTGTTAAGCATTTGCTGTGTAGTCTCAAGTGTGTGAAAATTCCTATTATTGATCTGCAACACACAGAAGAGAGGCGAGGTTTGTTGTTGTTGTTGCCTTCATCTTCTATGGTAACCAGTAAGTTTATAAGCATTTAACATGTGCTAGAGACATGCTCTGGTAATTTTGTAAAAGTCATTTAATATATTTGACCTCTGTTTCAGTTTCCTCAGCTGTTAAATGGGGACAAATGTACCACCTACCTTAACCTTGTAAGTTTGCAGTGAAGATGAAATGAGAAATTAATATATGTAAATACTGAGAGCATTATGTGGCAAATACAGAATTTTCAAAAGATGTTAAATGTCATGATGATAATACCAGTTATTTAAAATAGTTTGGAAATAGTTTTTACCATCTCATAATTTATTTTATTTTACTTTGTTTTTTTTTTTTTTTTTGGTACCAGGCATCGAACTCACGACCTCATGCTTGCCAGGCAGATGCTTATGCCACTGAGCTAAATCCTCAGCCCCTATCTCGTACTTCTTAATCATAAAGTGATATTGGCTGCTTATATAGATTTTAAATTGTTTCCTCTTAGTCTCTTAAGTGGATTTTAGAGGCAAATTGCAATTATTTTCTTCTTCCAAATTGACTGTAGCCTTCCAATCGTGTAACTTTAGAGATGTAATAAGAGCTTTCAGAATATAACAGTAAGAGAAAATTATAATGAGTAATCTAGCATCGCTGATCCATGTGTGTTTAATGTCTGGATAATTCATTGATTTATTAAAGTGTTAGACAATGGATTTTTATTCCTAGTAATATCACAAAATAATGAACTGAAAAAAATTCCATGAAGGAAAAGAATTTAGTTCTATGAGAATACTTAACAAGGCAACTGTCTAGAATTGGGGCAGAGGAATAATGGAAAACTTTTCTCCTCTGAAGCACTATGTGGATGAAACAAGTTTGTAGAGAGGTAGGTACAAATATGGAGCAGAGGGAAAGAATATTCTAGACAGTAGGAATATGCTGAGAAAATTCGTAGTGGGAGGATCCATGGAAGGTAGAAGGATGTGTCACACACAATTTGGCTAGCACCATGGTAAGCAGGACCCAACCCTGTGCACAGTGTGAAGTAATGAGGAAGAGTCAAAATACAGGAAGGAGAGCCTGGAGATTTAGCTCAGGGATGTAAGCGCCTGCCTAACAAGCATGAGGTTGTATGTTCAATCCCTAGTGCCAAAAAAAAAACAGTAAGAGGAAAGGTTCATTAGATGTCTCAATCTTGTTACTTTTGTAGATTATAAAATTACGTGGTACATTCTAAATTAAAAGGTATTGTTTTTAATTGTCTTCCTTTGTCAAATTACAGCTATTAAAAGCCTCTACTGAAACAAAACAGTGTAATAACACATATTGCCAACCATGATCTCACCATATTAATGGTAATTTTTGTTATTTTTACTTTCTCCCTGATTGGATCTTATCCATAGGGAAACCAGAAATTTCAGCAGTGTCAGCCCCTGAGAAGACTACATTTTCTGAGGAAGAAATGGAGAGGAAGTCTAGACCTATCATTGATGAATTTCTACACATTAATGATTTTAAGGTAAATGAAAATTTAAAAAAAAAAGTAAGTAACTACATAGGGTATTCAAAACATATGGTGAAGGTTTAAATTTTTTCCTTTCCTTTTTTTTTTTTTTTTTGTGTGTGTGTGTGTGTGTGTGTGTGTGTGTGTGTGGTACCTGGGATTGAACTCATGACCACGCACTTGCAAGGCAGGCGCTTATGCCGCTGAGCTAAATCCTCAGCCCCAAATGTTTAAATTTTTTAAAAAAATTTTTTACAGCACACACTGTAATCCTAGTACTTGGGAGGCTGAGGCAGGAAGATCACCACAAGTTTGATGCCAATCTGGATTACATAGTAAGTTTGGGACCAGCCTGAACTTCACAGAGAGACCCTGTCTCAAAAACCAAAGCAACCAAAACAAAATTTTTTTTTTTAATAATAAGACACATCGCTATTTATTCCTCTCAGAATACTCGGCCATACCTTAGTTAGCACATGTATACTACCATTCTTGCCATGTTCTGAAGCAGTTGTCAAAGTCCTTTTTCATATCTTTACAAGATGTGATCAAAAGTACAGGGAATGCTGCTATTGATGCCGTTTGACCAGAAAGCAGCCTTGTAGAAACAGTATGGTGTGCCCTTATTCACTGGATTCACTGCAATTCCTTTTAGCTCTTCCCCAAGTCAAAGTAACCATTAAAGTTAAACATTTTAAATGGCCTGGGACATCAACATACATCTGTAGGAGAGCAGCTAAAGACATTCATGAAAGAGAATTTTCAAGAATATTTCAGAAGCTGGGCGTGGTGACACACACCTGGAATCCCAGCAGTCGAGGAGGCGGAGGCAAGAGGATCACTCCAAGTTCAAAGCCAGCCTGGGTTACATAAGCAACTTGAAGGCCCTAAATAGTGAAAGCCTGTCTCAAAAAAAAGGAGTGCTGCAGAAAGTGTCTGGAAGCCAGGCATGGTGGTAATCCCAGCACACAGGAGGCTTTGCTGCTCTCAAGGCCAGCCTGGACTACATACTGGGAAAGGAGAGGGGGCAGGAGGCAAGGCAAGCAGAGAGACGGGAGTGACGTGTTTGAGGCAAGCTAGAGTGTTTTGAGGGAGACTGATGGCAATGTGTCTTATACAGTAATACTTTTTATTTCTTTTTTTTGTCTTTTTCCTTTTTATCGGTACCAGGGATCGAACTCACGACTGCCTGCTTACAAGGCAGGTGCTTATGCCGCTGAGCTAAATCTCCAGCCCCACTTTTTTTTTCTTACACAATAAGTATTTTTCTCTCATATGTTATATATAGAAAGTCCAGTGACAAAAAGACAGAGTAATTTGGTTCTAGTCTAATCAAGCATCATTACAATTGAATAATGCTTGGCTTGAGTAATCCAAGACTAGTGCATTTCTGCCCGGTCTGCCTGTCTAAATTGATACCGTAGTGGAAAAGAATGCGTATGTCCATCTAAGGAAAAACCAAAGTAACTGATAACAATGAGCAGAAACCAGTGCAATCTCTTTGTCTTTCGTGTGTGTGTGTGTGTGGTGCTGTAGATTGAACCCAGGGCCCTCATACTACACTGCATCCACAGCCCTTTTCTTTGACACAGGGTCTCACTAAGTCACTAAGTAACCCAGGCTAGGCTTGTACTTTCAACCCTCCAGCCTCAGCCTTGCAGAGTGCTGAGTGTACAGGTATACACCATGCACCTAGCCCAACTCATGATTGTTTTTTTTTTTAACTTTTTTTTAAACTTTTTATTGGTACCGGGGATCAAACTCACAACTGCCTGCTTGCAAGGCAGGTGCTTATGCCGCTGAGCTAAATCCCCAGCCCCAACTCATGATTATTATGAAACATTTCTGGTACAGTGATGCTTGTCATCCTTTATCATGTTAATTATTCTCTTGTTAATTTCAAAGTATGGCTGGCCTTTCTTTCGCCTTGTTTCATAAATAGAAAACTGAGGTACAAATGGCCAAGCAATGTTCCAGGTTCAGACAGCCTAAGTGAGAAATGTTAAGATGTGGCTCTGTATTTGCTCTCCTTTGACTCTTTACTTTCTCCTTGATCTTTGTTTTAAGATGGTAAGATAGGCATGCCACCTGAAACCATGAGCCCTATAGTCTCATAGCAGAGACAAACCAGAAGTGAGTAACTTCACAGTTACTTAAATTGTGAGGTCTTAAGAGAGATCATATGTTGGAATCTAGTTTAGTGGTCTGAGGCCTGGATGACTTATCTGTTAAAACTAGCTCTTAAAATAGTTGTCAGATATATTAACTACTTTTGTTTTGATGTTATATTACTAAAAATTCTTCCCAAATTACTTATAGTCTTCACAAAGTAGTCATTTCTGCTTTCTATACACAAAAATTATCTTGGATATCTTGAAATTTTCTAAAATCCAGAAGTAGGAAGAAGTTTCTGATGCTATGTAATGTAGGGAGGAATGCCTTGCAGAAACCCTTGGAAACATGCAAAATAAATGAATACCAACCGAAAAGGGCCAGCACATCAGTGGCTAGCTTTCTGGAAAACGAGAAGTATTCTTACAAACTGCCAGTCCAGCTTTTCTTTCTTGCATGGAGTTAGGGGATTACAAAAAGACTTACAAGAAAATTGAAGCACTATTAAACATGAAAAGCAGAGATAATAAGGATGAAAGCAGTGGGGTTGGCTTCTGACATCATGAAAGTCAGTGAGTGTTCTATGATGAACTGAAAGTATGGGGAGTGAAGGACCTCAGTAATACTGCCAGGTGCAACAGAAGACCCACTGGAGAAGCATGAGCCTTAGGGTAGGCCTGCAGTATTAAAGCACCTGTGTTAGACAGTTGGGAGGGATTTACTCTGTTCTAAGTGTTGGTTTTACATATTTTATATGTATTTATGTAATCTTTAAAAGACCCTTTCTAGCCAGGTTGGTGGCACATGCCTGTAATCCCAGCACTCAGGAGGCAGAGGCAGGACTATCACTCCTAGTTCAAGGCCAACCTGAACTACTTAGTGAGTTCAAGCCCACTTTGGACTATAAAGTGAGAGCCTATTTCAAAAATAGCCTCTAGAAGACCCCTCCTAAAATTGTTATTACTGTAATACCTGTTTTTAAAGATAAGGAAACTGAGATGCAAAAACATAAAGAAACTTGGTCAAGATCATAGAGAGTTCATTTTAACATCTTAGTAAGTGCTGATGTTACTAACAGTGATATAAATAATGTTTATTGAGCGTTTATTTTGTGCCTAACTGAAAAATGAATGCAAGCCTATATTCAATCTTTAGTACATCATCAGATGAAATGTCTTCTAGCAGAAATTGATTCCCTGTGTCTGCCATATCCCAAAAGTTCACAACCTGCTACCTGATTTTTCTCATGGGTTGAGGACTTACTTGAAATGACATTTCCTGTAGTCTTCTCTGACTATCCTACCGCTTAGTTTCCCTTCTCTTCACTGAAACATTATTTTTCTTTTTGTAGCTGTTGTTTATTTATTTATTACCTATCTTTTTTATCAGTCTTATGTGTTCTCACCACTAGAATATATGTACCATTAAAGAGAAAATGTTGTTCATTGTGTATTCACTATAATATATCCAGGCCAAAGTCCCTAAAATAAGGCTGGCATATTTTATATACTCAGTAGACATATACCAAAGAGGCTAAAAACATACATGGTGTAGGCAGACACATGAAACTTTGCATCCTGACTCTGCCTCTTAATACTATGTGACTCTGGTGTATCATGATATCTTAGCTTTAACTTTCTGTCAAAAAGTTACTTTAAGAAATGTATAAATATCAATATTCCCAGACAGAATAACCTCGGCCTTTGGGTCCTAACATTGGCTTTCTATTTCTTATACCATTTTTAGTTTTTTAAATGATTATAAAATAGGTATGTATGGTGTTGAGAAACATTTTGACTGTGACTCTTTGAGTGGTTTTTCATAAAATTTTTAACCTAAATTTGTTAGCCTTATAAAGGTATACCATTCTCTCTCCCTCTCCCCTGCCTCCCTTTTTCTTTCTGTCCTTCTTTCTTTCAGAAACAAAAGACTGCGCATGGTGGCACATGGTGGCAAACACCTATATTCTCAGCACTGTAGGAGGCTAAGGCAGGAAAATGGCAGGTTTCAGCCAGCCTGAGCAACCTAGTGATTTAGGGAGACCCTGTCTCAAAATAAAAAATAAAGTTTCTTAGGAGAAACCAGAAGATAAATAATTCAAAGAGGAAGAAAAAATACAAAAAAACAAGGATAATAGGAAGCAGGGAGAGAGAGATCTTTGGGAAACGGAAAAGAGATTTGAAATGGAAGAGAAGGGTGAGAATAGAAAGAGGAAGTGAAAAAATTAAGATGTGGCGAGTACACGTAGCAGCTCCCCAAGAGGAATGTACTTAATATGAATTGCAGATGTATATTAATAATAAATTTAAAATGAAAAAATTTTAAAAGGCCTGGGTTATAGAGTAGCTCAGCGCAAAGCTCTAGGGTGAGACCCCAGCAAACCACCCACCCCAAAAAGGAGAGCACATATATGTCTCATTACATTGCCCAGGATACCCTTAAACCTGGCAGTTCAAGTGATCCTCCTTTAGCCTCCAAGCAGATGGCTCTGCAGGCACACAATTCCACACATCGTTTTGTTTTGCTTTAATGTGACTAACATTGCCTGTATCAGCCTGCATTTTACTGAGCAATATTATATTTAAAAAACAAAACCCAAAGTTGGCTGTGATGGCAAATACCATAATCCCAGCACTTTGGGAGGCTGAGACAGAAAGATTTCAAATTCAGCCCCATCCATGGCAACTGTATGAAACACTATCTCAAAACAAAACAAAAAGGACTGGGATGTAGCGCATTCTGAAGGCCCTCAGTCCAGTCTTCAGTGCCACAAAAAGAAATCTTAAGTTAAAAAACTACCTTAATCCTAGATCTTTTTTTTTTTTTTTTTTTTTTTTTTTTTTTTTGTCTTTTTCCTTTTTATCAGTACCGAGGACCAAACTCACAACTGCCTGCTTGCAAGGCAGGTGCTTATGCCGCTGGGCTAAATCCCCAGCACCTAATCCTAGATCTTTCTGGTGACTTTTTATCAAGAGTAAAAGATTTTAAAGTTAACTTTTTTTGTACTGGTGGTGGTACTAGGAATTGAATTCAGAGCCTTTAAACTGAGCTACATCCCCAGTCCGTTTGTTTTTTATTTTGAGAAAAATGTCTTGCTAAATTGCCCAGGCTGGTCTCAAAATTATGGTGTTCCTGCCTCTGCCTTCAAGAATGCCAGAGTGCTGGGATTACTGGTATACACTAACACTCCAGCTGGTTTTGTTTTTTTGTTTGAGAGACAGACTGACTCACTGTGTATTCCAGGCCCATCTCAAATTTATAATCCTGAGTGCTAAAATTCAGCCTTTTGAGTTTTGGGGTTATTAGAATGTGTTACCACAGCTGGCTTAAAGCTGTTTTAAACAGAAAATTTTGGAGCAAGCCTTTATCCACAATTTTAACAGGAGGCCATGCAGTGTGTGGAAGAACTGAATGCCCAGGGCCTGCTACATGTGTTCGTGCGAGTGGGAGTGGAGTCTACCCTAGAGAGGAGCCAGATCACCAGGGATCACATGGGTCAGTTACTGTATCAGCTGGTACAGTCAGAGAAACTCAGTAAACGGGACTTTTTCAAAGGGTGAGTATCTTCCTCAAAACTGGCATTGGTTTCTAAGATTTTGGGTTGATACTTCTTCCAAAGATGAAAATCAAGTCCCCTCTGACATGTTGATGTGATTTAATATATTGGTATTATATTACTTGATAGGAATCTCTGAGATCTTCACCAGATCTTCTACTTACTTAAAGATCTGCATGTCTTTTGTTTGTTTGTTTGTTTGTTTGTTTGAGACAGTTTCACTAACTAGCCAGGTAAGTCTCAAACTCCACCATCCTTCCTGAGCCTCTCTTGCTGCTGAGATTGCAGGATGGACCACCATGCATAGCTCGTGTTCATTAAAGGTAAAAAGCCATCCACTGTGAGAAAAATGCTGAAAATTGCCTCACAATTTTAATCAACTATAGTTATTTTGGTGAGGATAACTCTCTCTACTTACTCTGAGCCAACAGAAGGATCATAACTTCATTTCTTTAATGATTTGTCTATTCCAGGTTGGTTTCATTATGATTTTTGTCAGTAGCTGGTTGGTGAGATTTATCCCAATGGAGTTAAAGCGCCATTTGATCAGGTTTTGGTTTTTCTTTTTTTACAGGGGGGTCAGGTACCTAGAGTTGAACTCAGGACTTCACACTTGCCAAGCAGGTGCTGCACCACTGAGCTAAATTGCCAACCCCTTCTTTTTTATTTTTAACTGTTTATTTTTGTGATACTAGGATTTAACCTGTGACTTTCATACTGAGCTACATTTCCAGCCTGTTTATTATTTTTAATACTGAGACAGAGTCTCACAAAGTTTTCCAGACTGGACTTAAAACCTGAGGTCTTCCTCACACAGCCTTGCAGAGAACTGGGACTACAGGCATGCATCACCATGCCCAGGCTGGTTTTTTGGTTTTTTGTTTTAAATTAATTACTGATTGATTTTGTTTTCGCAGCACCTAGGATTGAACTTTCAAGGTCTTTTCACTTAACTACATCTCCAGCAATTTTTATTTTTTATTTTTAATTTGAGACATATCTAAGTTATGGGCCTGAGTTTGTGATCCTCGTGTCTCTATTTCCCCAAGTGCGCGTCACTGTGGCTGACCTGGTATACTGATGATACACTTTCACCACAGGTTTTGTCTGTCCTTCACTCATAGAATCTTACCCTGGCTAAGGTTTAAAATAAGTCTACAGTGAAAGTTACATATAGTTTTTAAAAATAAAAACTTTCGGGGCTGGGGATTTAGCTTAGTGGCATAAGCGCCTGCCTTGCAAGCAGGCAGTTGTGAGTTCGATCCCTGGTACCGAGAAAATAAAAATAAAAATTTTCTTTTGATTTTTGTTACCAAATTTATCGGATAAAACATAGAAGTACATCAGTCACAGATTATCCTCTTTGTAAAAGAACAGGAACTGAAACTTCCTGAGTTTAGTATATCAAACCAGAGTCTGTTGTCTGTTTCATACTCAGCCACGTACATATTGGATTTTTGGCACTAAGAATTACGCCTACTTAGTTACTAAGAACGCATTTGACCTTGTAAAGAATGATAATGTTGTCCTCATGGTACTAGAGAATTTATCCTTGTCCCTAGGGTCATTAAGAAGTTGTCATTCAAATTCAAGAGTGCAGGAAAACAGAATTTTTTAAAAAAAGTTGTCTTTTAGGAAGAAGCCAGGTTTCTGTGAATTAAGTGAGTGTGGCTAGAGTAAGACCATGAGCCAGTTAACTTCATTAAAAACATGGCCAAAAATTGCTGTAGCTATTGGCCATTAGGACCAGGATGACTTCCCAGTTTTATGAGAAATTTGCAACTCACTGTAGTAACCAATGTAAATAGTAAAAGCAAATGACATTTTCCTATGTGTGGTTTCGGAGCGGGGAGAGGGGGGACGGCCCTGGCCTGTCCAGATACAGTTTCTACAGTCTCACTGCAATGGTGGGATTGCTGCTGCTTGCATAACCAGCACAGCTACCTATTATTAAACAGCAAATGAGATGAATATTTCTGTGTCTCAACAGTTACTTCATCACTTTCCATTCCTGCTTCTTCTGTGAAGCAGTGGTTCTAAGCCTACCTTTGATAATTAGCTCTAACTAAGACTTACAAAATTTGTACTATTTCTTCCTAAATTGAAGAATCTGACAATGTGGTGCTTTCCTTTTTGTAAATTGGAAGCACAGGGGTAGTCCCACCTCATTATCCACTAAAAACCTTTTTACAGGTAGATCAGAATTTTTCAACCCTTTAGAAAGCCCCGAGTTATTTTATATAAGTTCTGCTGTCCAGAGAGGGCATGTCATTGGAACCCCAACACTCCCAGCATTCAATGATCTCTATCTTTCCATAATGTAATGGAAAAGCATAGGAAGTCAACTTTCCTGGGTCCCAATTTGTGAACAGTTGGGAAAGCAGAGGCCTCCAGGTGTGTGGTGCCTGGAAACCTAGCTAATGATCCGCTCTCTCTCTTCCGCGTCCTTCACAGCATATAGGCTACAATGTAGTAAAGTAAGCAGAAGTTAAACATTGCTTTTATATACAAAGTTTAGGATCTTTATAGTTTTCCTCTAAAATGCTGTATCAGCTCTGAGCAGAAATAGCTACTGTGTGTAAAATCTCCACAAAGACAACATTCAGCCTTCTTTTAGAATTATCAGGATTGATTCTAGATACTTCATGACACAAATTAAATAGGAAATAGGCAGGTATATTGTGTATATAGGTTTTTCTAACAGCAATGATAGTCATTTTTATCATGATTTTAGAGAATTTTTTTTAAAACTGTCTTGTAAAAGTACTTTAGTGAAGTTCATTATAAGCCACAGATAGACTGGAGACCAAAGGAGCCGGTCGAAGGTCTTGAGCTCGTTGCAGTGTCCCATGTGGATCTGTGGCAGCAGGCCAGTGGGTCTTGTTGGATGACTGAAGTGTCTGTGCCAGAAACCAGATGATGTCCGAGTTGAAGGCAAAGCCTGAATCTTCTGAAGAAACAGAAGCAGATCCAGAAGATCCATTCTTCTTCATTTCCCCTTTATACCATCCAGGCAACAAATTGCCCTTGGCTGGGTCTTCTACACCCTAGAGTGCAGAATTGCTGAGCCAATTTAATTGAGCTTCTCTTCCTCAAATTGGAACAATCAGCCATCACAATCCATCCCTTGTCAATTTGACAGACAGACACATTTCCCTAATCAGTCTCCAGATACAAAGAGAAGCTCATAATTATGCCTAAAATGCTGGCTGTGCTGGCACATGCCTGTAATCCCAGCACTCAGAAGGCTGAGGCAAGAGGATTGCCATGAGTCAAGGCCAGTTTGGGCTACATAGGTAGACTGTGTCTCAAATAATAGTAGTAGTAGTAATTACGCCTAAGATATTGTAATTATCCTGCCTAAGAACAGAAGAAAAACAATAATTTCTGCCCCAGAAGAGAAGTCAAGATTTCTTTGGGTGGTAGTTACTCTTAATATTTCATAACTTGAACATTATAACATAGGTTTAATGATCCTTAGGGACCAATATTATCTCTGTCAGCATTGTATTACATTAGAATCATATTAAGGCCGGGCGTGGTGGCTCACGCCTGTAATCCCAGCACTCAGGAGGCTGAGGTGGGAAGATCATTGCGAGTTTGAGACCAGCCTGAGCTACAAAGTGAGCTCGAGGCCAGCCTGAACTGCATAGTGAGACTCTCAAAAAAGACAAAAAAAAAAGAATCATATTAGGAGAGAACTATTACAATTACATTCCTCATTTTTATTGCTGACCCCAGGATTGTAGCTGATATTTTGCACTACCTTCTACTACCCATTCCATATTCCCTTCACCTTCAGCAAATACCTCAGCAGGGTGTTGTTCTTTCCCTGGTGGAGGGAACCATACCTTCATTCCTGAAAGTTCTGGACTATTTTTCATTCTGCTTCGATTAAGTTGTAGTTTCCCAGTGACAGGGCACGATAATACCAGCAGGCACCCTGAGGGATCACCTACACTCAGAGTATATTCTTTCTTTCCTCCATTGTGGAGAAATAGTCCAGTTTCTACTTGATAGTCTGGCACAGTCACCCCTGGCAATGCATTGACTTCCATTTTAGCTCATTTCCTCGGAAGCATGAGGAGACCAAAATGACCAGGGGGAAACCTTAGCTTCTGGTTCAATGTTACCACTGTTGTGCTTCCTGGAACAAGTTTTCCCCCTTCTGGGACTAATACTTCTAAGCAGTACATGGGAACAAAAAGCAACAGTTTTGCTAGTGGATCCCTGGGAGAAATAGTGAGTGGCACCATGCCCACTGCATCCCTTGATTCCTGGACCTATGCATCCTGGCTATATGAGACACAGTACCATATAGAAGACACTAATTTAAACCATGTGTAGCCTTTTGAAGAACCTTGGTCCAGCCCTGCAAGCTATTTTTACCCAGCAGGTGCTGTAATTTTATCTTGAAAAGACCTTTCTACTTTTCTGTCAATCCAGCTACTTCTAGATTGTGAGGAACATGATAAGACCAGTTAATTCCATGAGCATGAGCCCATTGCCTCACTTCTTTAGCCATAAAATATGTTCCTTGATCAGAGGCAATGTTGAGTGGAATTTTATGATGGTGGATAAGGCATTCTGTAAGTCCACTGATGGTAGTTTTGGCAGAAGCATTATATACAGGGAAAGCAAATCCTTATCCAGGCTATGTGTCTGTGCCAGTAAGGACAAAGCACAGTCCCTTCTGTGATGGAAGTTGTCCAATATAATCAACCTACAACCAGGTCACAGGCTGATCATCCTGGACAGTAGAACCATACTGGGGAACTAGTGCTGGTCTCTGATTCTGGCATATTGGGCATTCAGCAGTGGCTGTAGCCAGATCAGCCTTGGAGTCCATGTTGCTGAGCCCATGCATAACTTCCATCCCTTCCACCATGGCCACTCTGTTCTTGGGGCCCATTTTGGCAATGACAGGGTAGCTGAAGAGTGAGGTTGACCATTATCTACAGAATAGATCATCTTATCTACTTGAGTGTTAAGATTCCCTT